CCCCAAAACCCCAAAACCCCAAAACCCCAAAACCCCAAAACCCCTCTTAGATTTTCTAATATTGATGAATAAAATTAAAATGAAGAGCAAAACGTTAGAAAATGATGAAGAAACCTGGCTAAAATATATCGGCAAGATCATAAGCAAGCAGATGGTAAACGAGCCTCTTGACAAGCTTTCCATCAATCTCAAAAAGAAGAAGCCTATTTCTATTAAAGACATAGAAATAATACAAAAGAAATATGAAAGCAGTCAGGAAGTAAGGGATGCCAACCTCGCAAAAACTATGAAAAAGGCATTAGATATTTATTACAAAGAGATGTTACATAAAGGAGAACTTTTACCTGTAATAGAACCTTATATGGATTCTGATAATGAAAAGGCAATCAAGATTCTCCGGCCACAGAGTGCGCTAACATTCACTGAGTATATGAACAAGCATCCTGAAACCTCAGCAGATCCTGAGAAGAGGAGACAAATTGAGAAGAAAGATCCTAAGAGTTCGAGAAAGTACATCTACTATAAAAATATCAACATCTCAAGACAGAAGATGATGAAAGAGTCTAATTAAGAAGACAATTTTGAAAAATAATTTTATACCTACTCAGCAACTTTGTGAGCAGGAAGCAAGTATTGACCTTGAAAAATTCTGACCAGATCTGTCGGTTCCAAAAACTCTACTTCCAATTGAGAAATATGGCAGGAATAATACTATCAAGCCAGAAGCATTTAACAAGTACTTCCTCGACAAAAATACTGAAGTAAAAGGAGCTTTGGCTAATAAGTCAACGCAATAAAGACCAAAAGAGGCCTAGCTCTCAAATCGTTAGCTAAAAACAACAGCATCATGAAGATTAAGTAAGATTGTTAGTAATTTTTAGGACAAGAAAGAACTCCCAGGAGCCTGTCAAAAATTTTGGTTTCAAATATACACATCCAAAGAATAACATCCAGTGTAAAAAGAAACTTAAGACTAATACCTCCTTTAAACCCCAAATCTCAAGACCAAGAAGCAGTTGGAACGACTTCCTCTTGTATCCTCCCCCTCTAACCCATAGAAAAATCCAACCAGAATGATCAATTTCAAAGGCAAAATTACTCCATTTCTACAAACAAACCTATAAACTCTAAATCCCCATATCTCAACCACCTATCTTCCAAGTGGGGTTTTGGGGTTTTGGGGTTTTGGGGTTTTGGGGTTTTGGGGTTTTGGGG